AAGCTCATCCATTGCTGATCCTTACCTCTCAGGAAATAACCTAACAGTCTGTGTTCAGAAAAGCTTAAGATGCCTGCTGAGAATTCTGAACTTGAGGTCTGTGTAGGCTTCTTTGTAGAAGTACTGTATTTACAACTAGGGATTTCAACTGGTTAGCTCTTCAACACAGGGAAATATCTGTATTAGTCCTCTCAAAAGGCACCTGGCTCTCTTAATCAATTACCAATTAGCCTTATCACCTAGTCTGGGAAATTTGCTGGAAGCTTATTGTCAGGCAACATGACTATGGTTCAGAAGCATTTGCCAGAAAGAATCCTATCTCTAGAATTCATTCTTTGACAAGAAGATTCATGATTTTACTTTTCTAAAACATGAAGAAACTATGTAGACTGGTAACCCAGCAGAGATGGAACTGTAAAATCAAATCAGTAATTAGAAGTGAGAGCATCCTTAAAATTGGCATAAATGTACTTGCTAGGAACTTTCACCAATTGAAATGAAATGCACGGCTGAATTAATGATGATTTTTCATGAGCTGTACATTAAGTTTCTCATGAGTGTCTAATGGAACATACCAGGAATTAACAAGCAAAGTATTTTTATCTCTTGCCTAATGAGAAACAACAACAGAGTGTAATCATCTAATTTCTAGCAAACAACCACTTTACTTTCACTAACAAGAGAAGTAGAAAATATCCCAAGAGAAACAACCTCTTTCTATTCATACTGCTTTACATCAATTACTGACTTGAATGAAATACTCTCAACTCACTCTTTGTACCACTTTAAAGAAGGAGATTTAGAACCAAAAACAGTGTGATTTACTTACTAGTAAATACTACTCTAAAAGAATGAGAGGACTGAACATTTCCTACCAGTGGTATTTTAAGTTATTGCCATATGTTCTTTGTATCAGTTAAAATTCAGAAAGTTGTGAATAACAAGAAACTTATCTGTTCTCATAAACCAAGATTTTGCCTTCTGCCAAATCCTGATTTGTAAGTAGTTAAATTTGGTTCCCCTGGATGTGAGTAACACTATCTACCTTCAGCATAAGATGAGTGTGTAAGGGGAAATCAGCATGAAGGAAAGCAGTTCTCCTACCTCTGCTGGATCTATACACAGAAGACCATTTCTGTAAGCTCAGTCTAAGAATAAACCTTATTGCCTAGTCAAAATACTCAACAGTGATTAATTCTGAATTAGGTTTGTTTTCACATGAGTCATAAAAAGTACTTTGTTAGGAAAAAAAAGGAAAAAAGAAGTAGTTTTATCCTCTTATTTATAGAGAGCTAGCTGTACTACCAGAGAAGTAAGCTCAGATGTTCATATATTCACACTACTCTGTTATATTCCACCTTATTTATAAGCATGTTTTGCAAATGGGTGCAGTTGAGGTAAATGAAAGCAGAGCATTTTATGAAAACAAAAATGAAATATCAATAGACTTTCAAGGGTTTATCCTGAAGGTTATAAATGCATGCAGGAGAAATATAGTAAATGCTGTTAAGTCTGTTTCCATACGGATATAGAAATTACTATTTCATGCATCAAAAACCAAGCAGAGATGTGTTTTTTAAATGATTTCCAGCTATTTTCTGATGAGGAAGATGAGTATTCTACAAGCCAGAGGAATTCATGAAGGCATCGCATAATCAGACTCTATTTTGTATTCCTATCTCAAATGGGCTTGAATTACCTTTTTTTTTCCACTTCCAAAAAAGTTTTGGACAATATTTCATTTAAACTAGGCTTTATGAACTAAGCCATTGCTCTTGGTGACATTTTATTTCAGTGAATGAAATGTATTTCAAACTACAAAAGCCAGACTGTCAGAATAAATAGTTTTAGTTCTTGGGATTCTGGTACTGCCTTTTCTATTGTTACTGTCACTGATCAGAAAATTAAGAACAATGCTTAGTTCCTGTAGAGAACTTTCCATTTTAAAAAGCGATACGGAATAATTAAAGCCTAATTAATTAATTTTCCACAGCAATTACTATGTTGCACCTCATTATTATCTTCATTTTACAATTAGAAACTTTGAAAAATAGGCCCAGCGTATGCTTTCCCATTTTCTTAGAAAAGAACTGTCTGCTGCCTTCTGTCTTCTTTGCTGGATTTAAGCAAATGAGAACTGACACAGCTGATGGGTCACGATGACTTTCAGATCCTTCCCTCACTGTGAGGTTGCAATTACTCAGCCACGGTTTCTTTAAAGAACTGAGGCTGCCTGTGGAAAGCTGCAGTCTCAGGTTTGTATCAAAGAAGAGGCCTTTTTTTCTTTGTCTCTTTTTCTTTTAGGGGTAGTTATTTAACAGGAGATCTATTTATTCTAAGTCCTGTGTGTAAGGTTTGGTGCTGTATGAGAAGTTATATGATAAGCAAGACCTTAGGTTGTACACCAGAGGAGGTCCAATAGACTTCATAGAGCTGAGTGTGTGGAAGGTGCCTGGGAGTAAGTGTTGAAAGTGGGAAGAAGGCCAGCTACAGCTTGAAGCTACAAGCTTCAACTGAATATTTCTTACCATCTTTTCTCATGGCTGTTGGAATCTGCCAAAATGGAAATACTAAATAAAGCTCTTCACTTTAATAAGTCCATGTTGCATGAAAGTCTAACACGAAAGCTTACTTTCGTAGTCTTCCACATGAATAATTGTATACCCCTAAAGCTACTGCGTGGTAATAAGATTAACTGTCATTAATTAATTCATCCCATAAAAGGATGAAATAACCTGTCAATTAAAACAGGCTAAAAAGACAGGGAAATCATTTATTTATTTTTAAAAGTTGAAGTACCTGTTTTGGAAGTAGGACACAGCTTCTCTCTCAGTCACAATGATTTAAAAAAGAAAAATCAAAGTTCAAGGTTGGTTGTTCCAAAATCTGATGTATACTCAGAAAAAAATATGAGATTTCTATTTTGGGGTTTAGGTTTTAGTTTCTGTCCCCTTGTCTCCAATCATCCACAATGTGAATAAAATATAAATTCATTTTCTTTGAGATCTCATTTAGTTTTCAATAATGGTAAAGAGGCCACCATTCTACCTGCTACTGCTGCTTATCAGACTGTCTTTTGTGGTTGGAAAATAGCTCTGCTTTCTACCTCCTCCATATCCTGCTCTTTTAGTGAGCTGCTTTGCAAGCAAGAGCTAATGACCATCACTCCAATTTTGAACAGTTGTATTTGTATTTTTTTTTACTCCAGAGGAGCCTTTCTATGCCTACGCTGCCAATAGAAAAGGCCATGTACTTCTTGTCATGTCATCATGTCATTTGTTGTATTCAAATGACAGGAATCCTGCTAGTCTTGACTATTCAGTCTAGTGTATGGCTATTCTTAGGCAATTGGAGATCTCTGGATGAAGGGATCTAGATAGAAAGCATATTCAGAAACACATTTTTGTTCTGGCCGTCAACAGTAATATATTGGTAACAACTTGTGTGAAGAACATAAAGAGATGAATTCTTTAGAACACATGTAGATGTTTTGGTGATATACTTGTATACCTCAAATCAACAAAAGAACAAAGAAATTTATTCTATACATTGGAAACACCATGTGATGCATGTCTGTTTGGTGTTCTTGATCATCTACCATAATTTTTAATGTAATTAGATTATGTCATTTCAAGAATAGTAAGCTAATTTGTTTTACTAATATAAAAAAGACTTTTTTTTAGACAAGTATGGACTGCAGGAATAACTTCATGCTTGTGTGTGAGAACCAATAAACCCTTTCTAATCTGTAATGAGATTAAAATATGCACAGTACAATAGGGTTTATTTTTATCATACAGAGAATCATCATACATTTTAAAAGGCAATCTCAACGAGAAAAAGATTTTTAAGTGAGTCTTTCAAGGGATGGATATTTATTTGTAAAAACAATAAATTAGATAGAAGAACAAAATCAGATCTCATAAATGTGATCAATAAACACTTGTAAATTGTAAAATTCTTTGAATTCACATTTCTGACTGACTTCTGTTTCTTCTACTATATGTACTAAGTTGCAATGACCTCTGAAGATTGCCTGTGAACATTAAGCAGAATTACTAAGTGGGGCTGAAACAGAACTTGCCACACTGACCAAAAAGGAAAGGAGAAATTAAAATCCTCTTAACTGCCACCCAACCTCTTGAGAGGTGCACTGACTTCAGCAAAATTTACAGGAATGGAGAAAGGCTTACAGGAAAATAATATGCTATAATACTGACAGGTCCAGGCAACATTTATGTAATACTTGAACTGAATCACAGAATTGTAGGGGCTGGAAGGGACCTCTAGAGATTATCTAATCCAACCCTCCTGCCAAAGCCAGCTCTCAAGACCAGGTTGCACAGGTAGGCATCCAGGTGTGTCTTGTGTATCTCCAGAGAAGGGGACTCCACAACCCTCCTAGGGCAGCCAAACTGAAAATATGTTCTAACAAGGGAATGGTAGAATTATAAAACATTCATTAAAAAGGAAAAAGTGAGCCATACCAGAGTGCATGGAAAACTCACAGCAGATCTTGGAACAGGTCCGTTTTCCCCTAGTCCTAGGCATCTGTCAGCTCCATCATAGCTGCTGGGTTTTAAATGCTACCTTACTGAAAAGAAAACCTTCCACAAACAGAAACCATACAGTTCCCTGCAGAATAAGGGACATTTGTATTTTGCTCTTTATAAAGATCTGAATTTTAGCTAAGGGAACTTTCTGGTAATGAAAACAGCAAGTAAGGCTAAACAAGTTTTCTGGAGCAAAGTAAAAGATTTCCTTCAAAATTTTCTTTATAATTTCACATGAGACAAATAGGCAGGCCTTCAAATAAGAAAAAGTAACTCTTCCTCAAGCCTATGAATTCTTATTCTCCCCCAAAATGAAAGTACTTAATTAAGATCCACTTTATGCAAATGTTGCATAGCTGAGTCTTATCTAGTAATGGATTTGCTGAGTCCTGTTTTTTGGAGCAATCAACTTATTCACAGGCTTCTTGAATTGCTTTTTTCCTGCAGATTTGTACCCCAGATTTGGTGGTGTTCTTGGCATGTTCCAATCAGAGGCTCAAAGAACGGTTACTGAAACGTGCTGAACAGCAAGGGAGACCTGATGATAACCTGAAAGCTACTCAAAGAAGACTAATGAATTTCAAGCAAAATGCTGTTCCACTGGTTAAATATTTCCAGGAGAAAGGGCTAATTGTCACAGTAAGTCTTCTAATATGTACCTCTGAAAACTGTTGTGGTTACATTTGATTTCTTTGGTTTTCTTTTTGTTTTAAGATAGGCTAAATGACTCAAATTATGCTTTTGGTATTCATAACCGTGTTGACTGAAAGCAAACCTTTATCTTCTGACTGTAGCTATGAGGTGAAGGTCTACTTTAATACAATATGGCTTTCTTTACATTGTTGCTCTGTAGAAATCCATAACATTTTCCAACTGCTATTCTAAGAATAGTACATGAGAATCAAAGGTGTGTGCTTGTAGGTATATATAAGTATGTATGAGAGATAATATTGGCAAAGACTTATGCTGTCTTCCTAACTGTGTATTTCCAAGATGGTGATACCAGATTTAGCCATTCATTTTACACTTTCTGAAAGCGGGGAGATAAACAGCTGTGAAACCTTGAGACTGGCTTAGGCCACTATGCATTCTATGCTCTTTTATTTCACTGCAGCAGTCTCATTGTCTTTCAAATAGTTACGTAATTTCTGGATGCTTGTCTTGGGAAGTGAGGAAAGCAGAAAAAATAAATTCTAAAGGAAAGCAGATCTTAGCCTAGAGTAAGTTAGTACAGGTTGTCAAAGAAGTTAGTTTATATTTGTTGCATGGAGTTGTAAGGTCTATATAATATTTACACCTAACCTTATACACAGATATATATACACACACCATATATATAGTAACAAAATATAAATACACCAGTAACTAAAAGGTCCATAGATTATCTAATCATGATTTAAATGTGCCTTATTATGTGGTGTCCTAGAAGCTTTAACGTTTTAAGTTAAAATTTTGGTGATGAGAATGTTGGGATGTAAACAGACCACTTGGAAATTAGTAAGAATGCAGACTTCTGCAGTACTCAGTGCAAGAAAGACTACCTCTAACCACAGAACAAACCAGAAGCTGCATGCATAAATAAAGCTAGACAAGGCTAATAGAAATAGGGCTACTAAGTGCTTCTGAAGTACATAAGTGCTTAATTGTGGCAAATTCAATGAGCAGTTGACAGTAGTTGAATTAATGACAAGTTCTAAATTAGAAGCTGAGTGTTTTTGTAACAGTGTGTGGAACTTGGTAGTATATATGGTACTATAAGAGCACAGTTGGCCTCTGTTTCTTATAATAGCCTAAATAATTAAGGTATGTTCTCTTCATGGAAAATATCACAAATTCCGTATTCTGGTCAGAGTGTCTAAAATGCAAAGTCATCTAATGGTGCTGGTAGTCCTAATAATGTAATTCCTTTTGGAATTTTGGAATGAAAATCCCAAGAAATACTTCAATTGTTTTCTCCTGAGAATATCTGTTCTATTTGAGGATTGTCATTAACAGTGTAGAGGAGGACTCCAGAAGACTGGAGGCCTTGGGAGTTGCTTTAAATTATTAGGGAAGTATGTGTTCTGTAATATTTCTATAGCCTTTTCAAGTGCTTTTCCTACAGAAAGTCTGTGTAGTTCTTAAGGGAAGATGAGTCTTTTGTTGAGAAAGCATGTGGGGCATTTGGCTAGAATTGGAATTGAAACTGTAGTTCACATGTCTTATTAGAGGTGCTCCAGGGCAGCTGTTTTTCCCTTGTTGCAAAACAGGATGCAGTGGCGAAGCTAAGCCTTGGGATTTGGATGCAGTTTTATGGTCAAAAGATGAGGATATATTTTCCTGTAGATGATAAAGAATACATAAGGCATATCTCGTCTCTGTAAGATTTCATTACACATGGAAAACAGACTTTGCAGATGCTTAGGGCAGAACAAGTTGATAGGAAATAAATGAGAAAAAGGAGTACCCGGGAAAGAAGTAAAAATAGAAAATAGATTAAGAAATAGATTAAGCATGCGTACTCCAGAACAAGTAAGCAAGTAAAAATTCCTACAAAAGTGCATTTCTAAAACCATGTGACTTTGAAACAGAGGAGATATTCTAAGTCCACGGAAAAAACTACACACCTCTACAGAAAGTTTGAAACTTTAACATTAAAAAATGGTTATTTTGTTCAATTTTATTCAATTGACAGACCAGAATTATCTACTGACTTTTGACAACAGTTACTTCTATTGTGTTTGTTTTGTTGGAAATTATTTTGCCCAATGGGAAATCTATTTGTGTTTCTGCCAACTTCCTGTCCTATTCCTTTAATCAAACATCAATGGACACAACAGATGTTTTCTTACTCTGCCTCATGTTTGCTCTCACTCAAAAATCCCACTTCCTTCTTTGCTGATAAACTTGATCTTTGTTTTCATTTTGAAAAAAAAAAAAGAAAGAAATCTATAAATTTTTTCATAGCCCTTCATCAGTGGAAAAGATAGTTCTCTCAAAGCTCTAGGATCCAACCAATACCAGTAAAGGACTCATCACCTTCTCCTGGTGGAAGTCTTATATCTTCAGCTTGCCTTTACTAGTATGTATCTGTATATGTAATGCTAGCATTTCTACCTACATTTGAGACACCTGCGCAGTCTATTTCCTTACAGGAAAAGGAAGCAAGACAGATTATCACATTCACCCTTCTGATTATAATGTTGAACCTGCAAGGCATTGAAATATTTTGAGGATGAGAGCAGTGTAAGAACTTGAAAAGCATAAAATAGAATTACACTAGCCTAATTTCTGGAGGAATGAATTCTTGAGGCAAGGTCAACCAGAAAAAAAGGAAGATTGCTCCATCAGATATTTCACACTATAATTGACATATTTTGGTCAAATTAATAGAAAACCACATTCTTCTAGTTTCAGATCTTATTGGTTATGTTACTCAGGTGTAATTCTTTCCCCATATCTCCCCACCCTGCCCTTGGCCTTTGATAATATTATATAATATGTATCTTATACTTCTTTGCTGCTCTGTATGCTTTATCTTTTCAGATAAGGCATTCTGTCCCTACTCTCAGAGGCTGATCCTGTTTTCTGTTTCCAAGGAAGGAAGTGAGGGCCTAGAGTACTTCTAAGGAATGGGAAGGTATACCTGTTCCTTCTTAAAAAGTCCTTCTTTGGAACAATAAAGTTGGAATATCCAACATTTTGGATTTTAGCTCAGATTTAACACACCTGTAAATAGCATTATAATTAAGTAGAAAATATCTGATATTTTCACAACCACATATAACCTGTGTTTAAAATTCTGTTTAGCAGTGTGTCAGCAGATCTACCATCAAAACCTGACTTTACTAATTGCTTCTAAAGAATAACAAGAAAATAGTAATAAATATCACAATATTGGAGATGGAATTTGTAAATAAAATAAATTGGGGGAAAAAAATACAATCCTAAATACTATGGGACTAATATGTTCTAATGCTTTTAATGTGGTTGCTGTCCTTACAACTACCATGCTCTGAAAAAATACTTTTCTTGTTACAAATAATAAAAGGTTAATCCTTCTTCCCTCCACCTCTGGCACCCCAGGAAAAAGCTGATATGGGTTAGCTGAAGGTCTAGACCAGCATATTAGTGTTCTCTGCTTAGATCTTGCTGTTAGATATCTATTAAAAGAGTTCCTTAAAAATCCTTTGAAAAATAAAGCTGAAAATGGTTTCTTAGTGTTAAGATGTATTTCTTTTCTGGACATTATATTGATATTTCATCATCATTAGACTTCTGCAGTGAACTACTTAGATCTTAAGAACACAAGCATCAGGTTCAAATAACCACATCATTTGACCTTTGAATAAATTACTATGATTTAAAATTATCCTAACTAGAAAACTTTTTTTCACATACACCCCATAGGACATAATTCATCCTGCTGCAGGGAAGTTGAAAGAAACTGTATTTTAGGAACTAGTGATTTGTACCACACCAAAGCTAATTGTGGGAAGATGGTAGGATAGAGGAGAAGCAGGATCTTTATTTTGCCTTATTCAGACATGCATGTTAAATCTCTGCTATTCCTACCCCAGTGATAGCTATCACCCAACTACTAGTTACTTTCTGAAGGATGATTAAGTCATCACATCACTTTAACTGGAATTTTATCTGGCATGGATATAATACCATTATTTGTAAAAAATCTATGTAAGTCTAGAGCTTCAGTGTCAACCTTGTTATGTTAGTAAGTCTGTGTGTGTTCTTCAAAAAAAAAAAAGGAAGAATGTCTTTAATGAGAGAGAAACATTATGCATTAAAAGAAGGCTGAGGACCTTATTTAAACAGTCAAGACAGGACAGCATCCTATCTTGGAAAATGTTGTTTTTACCCATGTCTTTGTATCTCACTTGTCTGTTTAGGGAATCTATTATGGTAAAACATTAAAATGACTTTCAGACTAGGCAGAGAAATGAAGAAAAATGAAAAAAAGTAGTTGAAGCTGGAAACAAGCTTTTGAGCACAAATTTAGAAGTGAAATAGTTGTGGGTGAGGGAAATAGCTTATAGAGCTGACTGCCCTCATTAGCATCAAACAAGCCTAATGGCTGTCAACTGTCATAGAAAAATTCCCCATGGAACAACATTATATAAATTTTTCTCTTGACTTGGTTATAAAAAGTGTTTTTCAATAGCATTGCGCACTGACATGAACTTCAGCTCCAGGCTGTGATTTACCAATACACTAGTGAAAGTAAAAGTTATAATCCATTTCTAAAGTTTCTGTGGTATCATATAACTTCCAACTTCAAATTTTGGTTTAGGCCTTTTGTTTTCCTTCTTTCATTAGCTCTGAATTTTGAGTTCAAAGCACTTTCAGTTACTCATTCCCTTTAAATTGCCCTGCTTTCCTCTGAGAAGTGGGTCCTGTGGTTCTGCCAGTAGCTCTCAGGGTCAATGCAGATCTTACTGATAGCAAGTGGTAAGCAAATGCCTGACCTGAACCTCCACCCTGCTTGCCTGATGGGAGCCATCGCTGGGCACCTCTCCCAAATGACAATCCAGCTCTGAGGATCTTCTCCTCATTGAAGGCATTTGCATCTTTTTTGGCAGAAAGCAGACTGATTTGTTGCACTTGGTTTTGTGGTAGTTGTACTTCTCCATGCAGTTTCACAT